TAGAAGTCTCCGATGAGGATCAGGTAATGTACTTGTTAATTTCGTTACCTAACAAATATGAATCTTTGTGTGATACTCTTAAGTATTCCTTAAGAGAAAAGATCAGCCTAAACGAGGTAACATCGGCGATATACTCGAAAGAATTAGAGTTCAAATCGAAGGGAAGGACAAACACAGGTGAAGGTCTGCTTGTTCGAGGAAAAGGGGAAAAGAAGAAACAAAAGAACCATAAGTTCAAGCCAAAGCAGAAACAGAACAAGGCTAAACCAAATGAAAAATCTGAATCGGGATGTTGGTTTTTCAGAAAAGAAGGACATTTCAAACGAGATTGTAGAAACCGCAAGAAATACTTGGAAGAACAAGGAAAAGACTCTGGGGAAGCGGCTGCAATTGCTGGAAGTGAAATAGAGTCCGAAGTTTTGGCTGTTACAGATCATGACCCAACAGAGCAGTGGATTCTCGATTCTGGCTGTACTTTCCACATGTCACCAAGACGAGAATGGTTCCTGAATCTTCAAGAATCAGATTGTGAGAAGGTCATCATGGGAAACAGTGGTACATGTCAGGTAAAAGGAATCGGCGAAATAAAACTCAGACTTTCAAATGGAAGTATCAGAATCTTGAGCAAGGTGAAATTTATACCAGATTTGAAGCGAAACCTTATATCACTGGGATCCTTGGATAGACAAGGGTGCAACTTCAGATCAGAAGATGGGAAATTGCAGGTATTTAGAGGCTCAACAAAGATGCTGACAGGAAGGTTGGAAAATGGTCTATATGTGTTAGAAGGAACAACAATCACCGCGGAAGTTCAAGTAATTGAGAACAGGGATGAATCTGAATTGTGGCATCGTCGGCTAGGACATATGAGCAACAAAGGTTTACAAATCTTAGTAAAACAGGGGATATTAGACAAAGATAAGGTCAGATAGGTAAAGTTTTGCGAAGATTGTATCCTGGGAAAAACCACTAGAACAAAGTTTCAGAAGGGAAAGCACATGTCAGAGAACATATTGGATTATGTCCACTCAGATCTGTGGGGAGCTCCTTCGGTGGTGGAGCTCAGTACTTCGTGTCCTTCATAGATAATTTCTCAAGACGGGTTTGGATATATCTTTTGAAAACAAAAGACAAGGTGTTCTCAAGATTTACAGAATGGAAACAGCTGGTGGAAACTCAAACCGAAAGGAGGATCAAACACTTAAGAACAGATAACGGACTTGAGTTTTGTAACCAAAGGTTCGATGAATTCTGTCAGAAAAATGGGATTACCAGACATCAGACCTGCACCTACACACCACAACAGAACGGCGTGGCAGAAAGGATGAACCGGACTATCATGGACAAAGTTCGAAGCATGCTAAACGATTCTGGATTAGACCAAACATTTTGGGTTGAGGCGGCGTCAACAGCAGTATATCTGATAAATAAATCTCCATCAAGAGCTATTGAGTTCAAGATACCCGAAGAAAAATGGTATAACAGGGCTGTAGCTCTAGGAAATCTGAAAAGATTCGGATGTATCACTTATATACATTCTAATCAAGGAAAGCTTCAACCTCGAGCAAAGAAAGGGATCTTCATTGGATACAGGGGAAGAATCACTAGATTTAGAAGAAGAGGATGTTGAAATTACTCAGGATGATTCAAATGCTCAGAATACTTCAGACCAAGACTCAGAGACTAGAGATGGAACAAGCCCAGAACTAGAAGATACAGAAACTACACAACAGAACAACCTTCAGGACTATATGTTGGCACGAGATCGAGAGAGACGAATCATACAACCTCCACTCAGATACAGAGAAGACAGTACAACTGCGTTTGCATTCACAGTAGCGAATGAAATGGAGCTCGAAGAACCAAAAACTTATCAACAGGCAATTCAAACAACAGAAAAACAGAAATGGATTCAGGCTATGAAGGAGGAAATGAGGTCTCTCCAAGAAAATCAGACATGGACTTTGATAGACAGACCACCAAATCAGAAAGTGATAGGTTGTAAATGGGTGTTCAAGAGAAAACCAGGGATTCCCGGAGTTGAGAAACCGAGATTCAAGGCCAGACTAGTCGCTAAGGGATACTCACAAATTGAAGGGATAGATTACCATGAAGTCTATTCTCCAGTGGTGAAACATGTATCGATTAGACTGTTACTGGCTCTTGTGGCGTCTAAGAACTTAGAATTAGAGCAGCTTGATGTAAAGACGGCTTTTCTACACGGGGACCTAGAGGAGAGAATACTGATGGAATAACCAGAGGGGTACAAATCCGGAGGGAAGTCTGATAAAGTGTGTTTGCCAAAGAAGTCTCTTTACGGGTTAAAACAGTCGCCTCGTCAATGGAATCTAAAGTTTGACACATATATGATTGAACAAGGCTTTGAAAGAAGTAAGTTCGATTAATGTGTCTATTTCAAAGAATGGAAAGAAGGATCGTACATATATCTTTTGATATATGTAGACGACATGTTATTAGTAGCTGAAAACAAGCAAGAGATTCAAAAGGTGAAAAGTATGTTAAGTCAGAGGTTCGAAATGAAAGATCTGGGAAGTGCTAAACGGATTCTGGGACTCGACATCATCAGGAACAAAAGTTCAGGGTTGTTACTGTTATCGCAGCAAAGTTATATGCAGAAGGTTCTGAGTAATTTTGGTATGACAGAGTCTAAGGAAGTAAAAACGCCTCTGGGGCCACAGTTTCGACTACAGGGGATTAAACAAAAAGAAGAAGGACTGGATTTGGACAGGTTTCCGTATTTGAATGCAGTAGGAAGCTTAATGTACGGGATGATCGGAACACGACCAGATTTAGCATATGGAGTCGGTATGGTTAGTAGATTCATGAGTAACCCAGGAAAGGAACACTGGCAGCAATCAAATGGCTAATGAGATACGTCAAAGGAAGTATAAGACTGAAACTGAAATACACCTCAGGAAAAGAGATCAAGATTGAAGGCTTTTGTGACTCGGACTACGCATCAGACCTAGACAAACGTCGCTCCATCACCGGATATGTCTTCACTATCGGAGGAAGCATAATGAGCTGGAGATCGGGATTGCAACACGTCGTAGCACTCTCCACCACTGAAGCAGAATATATGTCCCTAGCAGAAGCAGTTAAAGAAGCTTTGTGGCTAAAAGGACTGGTGAATGAGTTAGGAATCAAACAAGATACGGTTCCAATCCATTGTGATTCACAAAGTGCAATATGCTTGGCCAAGAATAACGTACATCACGAAAGGACCAAGCATATTGACATGCGGCTGCATTTTCTACGAGAGGTCGTGGCAGAAAACCGGGTCAAGATACTAAAGATCAAGTCCGAAATAAATCCGGCTGACATTCTCACAAAGCCATTGCCGGTGAGTAAATTCAGGCAAGCCCTGGATTTACTCAATGTCACAGGTGATTAGAAAGTGACGAATAACCGAGGAGGAATCAAAGACAATTCACGGAATCTCGTCTGAAGTCGCCAAGGTGGAGCATGTTGAGATGGCGATACTTCAGTCGAAGCTGCTTTCTGAAAGAGAGACTTCTGGCTTACTACGGTTTAAGAGTCCGGTTCGATTCAGGTTGAAATTGAGCAGAAAACCAATTGCGTTAAGTGAATACGGTGCGTTTCAACAAAGGAGGGCACTAAGGACATTTGGCGTCAGAAGGTTGTTATACTGTTCATCGTCTTCTTCCCCTGGATATAAGCTCGACTCTTCTACAGAAAAAGGGCACAGTTCATTCTATTCTTTTCGGGTCAAGGGACTGAAATTTGTTCTGGGTTTTTTGAGCGCATTCGTGTATCTCAAGATCTGTAAAACTGATATAGTGAATTGTCGAGAACCTCCTCGGCCGTGAGTAGGATCACATTAATCCGAACATGTTAAATCTTGTGTGCATTCGTTCAAAGAAAAGATCGATCAGAAACTAACAATATTGACGGAAGCCGGAACTAGAGGTCTCTATATCAAGTTTATTGGTCTTCAATTAAATTCATTGATTTTCGTGCGTCGTCATAAAGTTTTCAAAGTTCATAGAAAGACAACGAGAGAAAATGAGTGGATGATATTATTGCGACATAATAAGTGGACGGACGAAATAGCACATTGTGTGCTTGCTCTGAGTTCGCCCACGTCCACTCTTTTTTTTTTTTCTCCTTTGCCCGGAAGTAATGGAAAATTAATTTTTATTAGAAACATAGAAAATTATGTGCCCATAATAGAATCCAAAACTAGCCATATATAGCATGACCCTATTTGGATTACACAAAATATATCTGCATCACGATAAAATATAAATCATTCTATGGAATTCTTAATTTGTGTTTTCCATTTAGTCGTTGTTTTAAAATATTATATAATAAAATCCATTTCCAAAGGTGAATATATATATATATATATATATATATAGTTGGAAGATAAAAATTGGTACAAACCAAAATATTTTGTCTCATTTTTGCAAATTTAATATGAAATAAACTATTTTTTAATTTTTTGACAAATATTTGGTCCCTTGCGGGTGAAATTCAAATAACTAAAAAAGTGCGTAATTACAAATTGAGAATACTGAAAAAATCATATATATTCAAATAAATTGATTGATTTATAAAGAGGATCATCTTAAATAATTTTACAAATATCCCATTAAAATCTAAATTATCCAAAAATCCAAATAAATGTATACTTTTATAAAAATATCAAAAATTATAATATTTCTTATTTCATATCTAATTTACTATATATAGCTATCATCATCATCATAACTTTTTTAATTAAAATTAAAATAGATCAATTAATAAATACAATAGTCGTTTACATATATTTTTGTGATAGATGAGATTTACTGTGGTAAGCGAATTTTTTATCAAATAAAAACATTTTTGTTTTTAAATATTCTTTTTTAGATGTTTTGGGCATGGTTTTTAAATGCATGCAATTTGCAAAATGGGCCTTACGAATCATATAAGCCCGTTTATGAAAGCTGATGTCAGCATCTCTTTCTCCTCCTTCGGGAGTCGTTTCGATCTTTTTGGAGAAGAAGATAATGGATGGCTTCGGCTATGGCGGTTTCTCTGGATCATCGTATCTGTACTGCTCCCCTTCTTCTAATCCCACTTTGATTCCGTCTTCATCTGTTCCACCGTTCACGATGAGCCACTCTGTTGAATCCTATGGTCCGCCCGAAGAATTGTCTGGTCCGATGAACTTTTATGGTTATTCTCATCGATCGCCGGCAGATTGACCGTATAACTCTGACTTTTTTGGAGTAGTTAAGTCTCAGGCGTCTTCGTCTTCGTTTTACGCCGGCAATACACGACCAGGTATATGTCTCTGAATTGCCTTTTGCAGCAGTTTTGGGGTTTCAAGAGCTCGGAGACAGTACCGTATAAACTCTACATATGGTTAAGCTTCAGGAGGTATGCCAATTTCTTGTTTAACCCAGCTTTTCTTAAGCATGATTCAGAACTATATGCGAAAGAATTCAATGCTGATAAAATCGTAACCTGGCAGTTTCAGGAACAAATTCCAATCCAATAGAATTTGCTTGCCCAGTTAATTTTGCTGATTGTTAGGGAATTGCAAACAAACACTTCACATGAATGCCTGCTACATTGTTTGTGTTGCTATTGCTATTATCAAATTCATGAAGCTTTGTTTTGTTCTCCCCTTGTTTGGGTTCACATTTTGAAGAATGAAATGAATTGGGTCCATTTTCATGGGGTTTGCTTTTACTTTGTACCTTTTGCTAAAGATTGGGATTTTGTTCATCACCGAGCTTATGGATACCCCCTTCACAGGTGCCCAAGGTAGTAGGCACTGCAGATGTTCAGGGCCACTATGACCAGCCTTACTATGGTGGCTATGCTTTTACAGAGATGGCCCAGGCAAGTTGATCGCGCAGGGTTCTTTTGCACGGTAACAAAATTCGCTTTCTTTGCTGAATTTTAACTTTGCAGGACATGAAGAGCATACTTGCGTCCAACTTCCCTGATGACAAAGAAGCTCGACCACAAGCTGTCCTGTTCAAGAGTCTCTGGCTTGAAGCTGAAGCTGCTTTATATTCTACAACTTGCATGGCTCATTTTTACCGGATCAGAAACGAGATCGACGATCACAAATTGCTCAATAAAGGTTGAAACTTTCAACTAAAAGTTCCTTGTTTGATTAGTATGTGAATGGAGGGATTGAACATGGAAACTAGTGTAGCGGTAATGCACAAGCTGCTGTTGCCGTGCTCGGTCGTCACTGCTGTATCCGTCTATTCTGTTTTAGCCGTCAAATTGAAGGTTAGCAAAGTATGGAGCAACCATAAGCATTTTTCGTCATTTAGACCTAATCTTGCAATTGCTTGCTTGCACATCTATATTGTTTCATCCTGCACATAAAATTTTGGTTCTCGTTAAAACCTCGAAATATTTTAACCCATCTTTTACTTCTTTTTTCAGAAAATTCGGCAAATGCATCTTCGTCGTGGCAAGAGCGTTCTTTTAACCTCCAGAAATCGATTCCCATCACAAAAAATCCAGGGCCACATACAACCAAATCAGTTGTAGATGAGAACAGTGTCATAACAATGAATTGTGTAACAGGAAGCTCAGGACATAACACAGATTCTGCGGGTGCAAAACTCAAGCCTGATGCAAATTATGGAAAGGTTCCGAGTGCCATACCCGAGGATGCCCTTATCTCCAACACAAACAGCTATGCAGATGATGTTACAGACAGATTTCAGATTCTGAAACGTGGGGAAGCTAAGCACGAGAATAGATTGGATTCACATTCGAATTCAGATTCAGACAAGGCTGTTCGTTCAACTAACAGACGGAGACCAGAAGAGCGGCCAAATGTTACGGACACCACTTTATTCGTACGTAACATTCGTTCCTTGCTCATGCATGCATATACTATATTCCATTTTACCGTACAACGACAATGGCTTATAAGAATTACCGAACATTAATTGTTTCCAATACATTATGTAATGCGGTGTATAGATACGAGGAACGAAACATGTCGGGGCTAATGTCATAATTTTATGTGTTCTTGAAGAGGTTGAGGCAATGTTCTTGGTCCAAGTTTCGACTCCAAAACTTTTTGTAGTACTCAGCGTACGTGAAGTCCCTGTAGACAGCCCCAGTTTCGTCCTCCCGCAAGGGCTCGGCTGGGCTGATGACTGCGCTGTCGGAAGGACACAAGAACGAGGCTACCGATATTCTCGGCTTCTCCGAGTTTGTGACAGCTCTGTGCCAAACGCTTTTGTATATCCCATTGCTCAATGCCTGTCAAAATACTCAATCATATTAAAGAACATAGTTTTTTTTTCCTATGGTTCATGTTGAACTATTGAAAATTATGAAGCGTTTACGTAATTAAATTATGAGATTTGCTGAAAACATTCCAATTAGAAAACTTTCTAACAACCACTGTCACGTAGAGATAGAAACGAATTGTATACCTGGAGTTGGTCTCCGATATTGATGACAAAGGCGTCAGGGCACGGTTTTACGGCGAACCACTTATCCTCGATGAGGATCTGGAGGCCCGGGACGGCTGCGTCTTGGAGGAGAACGGTGAGGGCGTTAGGGTCGGTGTGAGCGGGAAGGCCGTACGTTAGGTCGGGCTCGGGGCAAGGAGGGTAGTAGTTCACGGCCATGTGCTGGCCTTGCTCTCCAAGTACATTCTTGACGTACTCTTTCTCTAGTCCCAAGCTCTCTGATATCATTTCCTCTATCCTAAACCCAAGTTCTCTCACTTCTGTGCAATATTTACTTACAATTTCCCTGGTTTAATAAGAACAAAAAAAATATGTGAATATAGTGTGTATATATATCAGTATGATGAGTTACGATGTATTTCGTTTTTTTTTATATATATGTAAAACTCATGCGCTATTTCCTTGCATATAAAATGAAAAATAAAAGGGGAAAATCATTTTGAACTGACAAAACATATCTTTTAAATTAGCAAACCCCTAAAAAAGAACGGTGTAATTTTATGAAATGTACCAAAAACGAAAAAACGTTTTGCAAAGTGGTATTTTTTTGTCTTTTTGCAAAATACTTTTTAAGGTTAAATTCTCAAAAATAATTCTAACTTTATTGTTTATTATCCAAAATAGCTTAATTTCCCTAAAAAAAAAACATTCATTTCCCTTCTATTCACCGTTCCTTCTTCCCCACCTCCCACACATTTCTCCATTTGTTTTTCTCTAATTTTTTCGTTTTCGGTACATTTCAACAAATTTTATCTCTATTTATTTTCACTTTTACCTTTTTAAATTCTTTCATCTTAATAGAAGGTATTTAGCATTAAATAGATATACTTTCAAGATTCCGACGGTATTTGTTTTGTTAGAGATGATGATGATGATGGTCGTGAGATTCTGACGCCATTGACTTCATTAGCGGTTAAGGATGACTCGGGTCAGATACCCGATGTCTTCGGGTTATCTGAATCCGAATCCGAATCCGAAAATCACCGTGACATAATATCCGGACTCATACCCTACCCGTTTCACTTGGATACCCAAAAATCGGGTCTCCATATAATTTTTGGATACCACGTCCTAAATTTGTATATAAAATTTTCATAAAAATTTATAAACATAATTATAAATATACTATTTTTTTTATATAGAGGATAAGTAGATATGACTGCACACATGAGGTAGAGGGAAAATGGAGAGAGAGAGAGAGGGGACTGAAAAAATAGAGGATAAGTAAGGAGCAGAGGAGAGAGAATCAGAGAATGGCTTGTAAAGAGGGAGCGGCGACGTAAATAAATGTGAGATAACCCTAGATTTTTACCTTAATCTCATTAAAATTTAGGGACATAATTATAAATTTACTATTTTTGGTACATATGGATAATACAAGAACCCAAACTCTGATACCCGAACTCGAACTCGAATTCGAATTCATATTTCGGGTTTTTCTAATGTCTAAATCCGATCTTCTCTTATTAAATAGTTGGGTATTCGAATTTCCATACCGACCCACGAATCGGATTGGATATCCGAATTTCGCATACTTTTCCCGATAAATGGAGATAATATAATAAATTTTGAAAAAACTTTACCAAAAAAAATTGAATAAAAATTGTTCTTTCAAATTATTTCTAAAAATAAATGTATTATCTGTGAGGGGTATGTTATATTTTGCTGTTACTCAGTAAGACTTTCTACTCGGTCAAATTATAAATAGATCGATATTTAAAATTAAACAAAATAATAAATTATAATTTATATGGCAAAAAGTCAAAGAAATTATATATAAATATAATATTGAATTATAATAAAAGTGCCATGAACTCACGAAGCTTACGTCCACGCGGTTTCGCTAGCGACATTTCACCCCCTTAATCAAGGCGTATCCATATACACTTTATATAATTTATGTATATCATATATTAATCTAATATACAAATCGCGTTCACTTTCTGACTTTTGGACATTTTATTTCACTGTAAGATTATTATATTTGTCTCTTGTCACGTAGCAATAGAATGTACCATCAAGCATTGAATAATTTCAATCATAATTATGGAAATATGTTTGGAACAAAAAAAAAAGAATGTCTAATCCAATAAAAATATCTTTGTAGTCTTTTTTTTTTTGGGTAAAAGTTATCAATATTTTATCATTTAACTTTTTATTTTTTTAAAATTGTAAAAACTAATATAAAAGAAGATTAAGTACATGTGAATAAAAGAAGACAAATATAAGATACATGATTTATTTATGGAAAAAAATTATATAATTTATTAAACTGTACATTTTTTCACATAAATGACACATATAAGATTACATTAGATTTTTTACTAATATAATTGTAATTGTGTTATGTATATGGATGAACGGTTAGACTAAATGGATGATTAGATGGGCAAAGGATACTGAACTTTATTGAATAATTTTAAAATAAAAAGGATATATATATATGGAATATGTAAATTTATAAATAAAAAAAACTACCAAAAAATATCAACGATACAGATTTTACTATGCATATAATAGATAGAATATTCTATATCCAACAAAACTTTATCCATATTTATTTTAATAAAAGAAAAATTCTGTCGCTACTCTGTGATTTCTAAACTAAGTTTTTCCAAATATTTAAATTAAAAAAAATTATATACCATATAATCATCATAACAAATTTTTATACCCATAAAATTTTATTTTTATTTATGTATTTAAGAGAAATTATATATACATATATTTCTCGATTATGCATTTTCGTATAATTTTATAAAATATTATGGGTTAGAATTGAAAAGTTTTATTTTTGGTGAAATGTAAACTTCATATATATGTGTTATAAGGTTCGTATACATCACGGCAAGATAGCCAGAAGAGAAAAGATTCCATGTTGGAACAGCTATAAAACAAAATTGCAAATAACAAGTTTTACAAAAGAGATGAAATATTGTTGAAAAGCTCTTTTGCTATATCCACTATTTTTTTTTAAGGAATTTCATTTCTCCGGTTAAAAAATTAATCTCTCCGGAAATAAAAAATTAGACAAATGTTTTTCTGGATCAAATCCCTCTCTTAACGAGAGTTTTTTCAAATACCCCATTGGGCCATTCACAATCTGTGCGTGAAGAATAGAGTCTATATGTATATTATATGTATTTTATTGAGAAAATTATATATTTATTGGATATTGTCAGTAGCCGACCGTACCGATAGGAAACAGAATATCACATCAAAATGCGTTGGACGATTGAGTTATGATCTCGAGGTTTCTGTCGTAAATTTCCCGATCCTGTGGTTTTGCCACGAGAGTCGGCTTGTCTTTTTGTTCAATGACCATAATCTCTCTTCCCCTTATCTTTTTCTATTTGCAATAATTGCAATTTTTTTCTATACTAATGAAAAATAAAATCATGAAATGCCCCCATAAATTTATATTTGTTTAATCATAAAAATAATTTTGCCCCCATTATTATATATGTCTAGATCCGTCACTGTCACTTTTTCATGTGTGTATTATTGTGTTTGTAAGGATAAATGATGAATTTAGATATAATTATTTCACAACACTATAATTTTAGGAATACGATATAATTATTATATACTATAAAACAAAAACTTAATTTACTTGGATTTTCCCTATGAACGTGAAAAGGGTGATTCGAGCAATTTATTGTAGCAACGAGGACCAAAGTTCAACCTTTTCAATTCATAGTATTCATGCCAAATTAATTGCAATTAAATTAATTTTATTATTGTATACGATCAACCATGCATATCCACTGTATATAAGTTGTAGGTTGATAAAAATATCGAATAAAAATAAATCGAATTTAATTTAGTTTTGATAATAATTGGATTTTTCTAATTGAATTTTAAAAATAAAATAGGAACAATTGCATATTTGGACTAATTCTCACGCAAGATGCAAATAAATGAATATATGATCAATAATGACGCGTTTCAGGATGTATTTTGTTCGTGTCGGGGATTCATGTGTTTAAAGATTATATATTTTGTGTATGTATATATTATACGTAATGTCAATATAATTATACACGTATATATAAATGTGTATATATGTGTGTAATTATAATGTATACATGTCTGCCAGGTTTTGTTAATTAATGATCGATGCATGTGATCACATGGAGAGATTTCAAATAATAATAATAATATTAATAATAATAAAGCACATTTTTTAACCAGGGGGGACCACCAAATGATTTATCCCGGAACCCAAGAAAACAAGACAGTGGACTTTGACTCTTTTAAGTCATTCGACAAAACATACCCTACTGTCCCATATTTTTTCATAAATTCCATAAAAAAAAAATTAATTTGTTTTGAGAAATATGAAAAAGAAAATTTCAAAAATTGCTAAAAGTGATAAAAATGACGTAATGTGCTGACGCGGATGACGACCATATGGATTATCGCATCTGAGAGTTACGGGGATTAAAAGTTAACGTTGATGAACATTCGAAATGATAACGTTTGATAAGTTAAGAATTTTTAATGAAACGTTATTCAAGTTAAGGAATTTATTTATTAAACGAAAAAAAAAATGAGGAATTAGTTAGTTTTACTTACAATTTTACATAATTTTGAGAAAATTTATGGATTTTAACTTTTTAAACACATAATTTTCTAATTTTTAAAAAATCCACTAAATCTTTTTTCTGCAACAAACATTAAACTTTTTAAGTTTTACCAAAAAACATTTAACTTTTTTCTACCATTATAAAATAAAAACACGTCAGATTTTTTTTTTTTACAATAGCAGATAATTCATATATTTTTTGAACCACTTAAAAAATTTAATGTTTTTTGATAATCACGGAAAAATTTATATTTTTTGGATACCTCACTTAAAAAATTTAATATTTATTTGAAAAAAAGTTTAATATCCTTTTTGTCAAAATTGAAAAATTCATTATTTTTTTTATATTTTTCCATATATATATATATATATATATATTATTGTTCTGGAAATTTTGTTGAGGAGGGACCATTGAAGAAGTGAACAACATAGTTGTGTCTAGAAATAAATAGGCATCGATTTCTATAATTGGCTCTAACTCATAAAATTTCCTGTTGCAAGTTCTCACACCTCATGTAGCTTTTATTTTATTTTATTATTTTATGCACTCGGAGATTATTTATTTTAATTCGATAAATATTGAATATAATTATCTAATAGCGTCAATATCTGTCAGGAGTACTATCAAATCCGATACATCAGCGATATATTACGTAACCTGTCATGTAATCTTTTTTTTTTTAACACGTGATAATATATACGTACGTAGGTTAAATTTAAATGATTCCAAGTGATAATTATAACAAAAAATAAATCCAAGCCAATTGATATATATATATATATATATATATATATGTATGTATGTATGTATATAAAGGGAGAACTTACTTGAAAGAAGGAGGGGTGGAAGGCCATTGATGGGCGTAGCTGTGGAGAGGGTAACAATGGAGTCTGAGATAATCTCTCCAGTTGTGAACCTCTTCTTTCTTGACGTTGAAGCTCGTCGACAACCTCGTCGTCCTTGTCGGGTCCTCTGAGTATAGCTTCATCTTCTCCTCCACGGGCAAACTGAAAAACTCGTTCGCCACTTCAAGCATCTTCTCTACGGCTTCCTTGGAAACCCCGTGATTTATGACCTAATTAATTAATCGTTCATATATGTTTATTTGTTAGACGAATAATATATATAGCTAACCAAAATAAACATATATATATATATATATAGGTGAAAAAGAAGTGGTGAATACGTACCTGGAAAAATCCGAATCGAATGCAAGCTCGGTGGATTTTGTGGACGATTCGAGATCGATCGGAGCAAGAGAGATCGATGAGAGGGAAATCTTGAAGGTCAGAGACCTCGGAGAGATGTGGCCTGTCGGAAGCAGGCCGGACGTATTTTTCCGGCAAGGTCGATAGCCGGAGACCGGTGGATAGAAGCCTCGCCGCCATCTTATCCAGAAGAAGAAGAAGAAGAAGAAGAAGAAGCCTTTGAGTATGCAAGTGTGTGGGAGTGCATGCTTGTCCGTATATATATACGCAAACTATGTATTATATATATTTACTTAATAAAATTATAGTTAGATCAATCAAGCTTATGAGTCTGTTTTTGTTTTGTCATTTCTGTAATTATTTGAGTGAAAAAATATTTAAAATTCCACACACATACATACCCAAACACACGCACATATGTATATTGCAGTTATTGGTAATTTTTTTAATCTTTTGATTAGTTAAATTATATCATTGTCGTCCCACCTATTCACGGGTTGTCGTAAATGGAGGTTATACAATTTTAAATTTTACATCGAATATTATTAGGAATTTCAATTTAACAAACATTTTTTTTGGGATCAATTAGCAACCTCTATTCACGCGGTTAAATAAATTTAAAAACTATCAGTCAATTGAGCATAAAAAAAATCAACTCAATTCTCTATTATAGTTCGAATTTTATAAGATTTGGATTTTATTAAAAGTATTCATTTTCTAAAATTATATTTATTTATCAAAATCAACATCATTTTAATCTCAAGTTTATATATCGTCTTCGTCCCAAATTAATTCATTTATATTAAATTAATTTTGATTTTTAAAACATATATCTAATCGACTTTTAAAGCGAATTGAATATATTATTGGGTTCAATTTTAAATATTCAAATGGAACTACAGAGTTTATATAATTAATTTTCATTAATAAGCATATTCATAACATATTATGTGGAATCATCTAGGCCGTTGGATTTCGTATGTTGGCCATCGGATTCGTGACAGTTGTCATGCCTAACCTAATGGCAACAAGGCTTGTGGCATTGCTCACCACCACTACCAAACGATATACTTAGATACCTGCAAACACGCTCTTTTAAATATTTGATTATATAAATTGAAGATGTAACGATTACTTTAATTATGGCCGTTTATTTTGAAAAAGTTGTATCTTAAATGTAAATAATTGTAACTTCGTCTTCTAACCTTGTCGCCGCCACGTAGATCTAGGTGTGATAATTTTATCCGTATTATATTTCAAAATTTCTATATTTTTCTAATTTATTAAACCAATATAAGTATTATATATAGATTTTACCTTGTCACCGCTCTTTGTTTACGTTATTGTTTTTTTTTTTTTTTGATTTTCATTTACGTTATTGTTTTGAATATTATTTAATGAGAAAACAAATGTGCCGGTGAATTTTATAAAAAACATGTATATAAGTATTATATATAGATTTTAAAAGACTATTTTATATCGTCTGCTTTGCTTGAGGCAATAAATCAAAGGACAACAATGTACGAAATTCAAATTAAAATTTATTTATTTTAACTTAACATAGTTTGAACATTTTCAGAATTTCTTACGTATAAATTAAAATTATTAAAAACATACATTGATGTATAGGCGTTGAGATGTTAACGTCACCATTACGTCATATTTGTGACATCATGCGTGACTGGGAATCTATGGTTTGTATGATATCATCTATATGCTGATCCCCTTCAGAATTTTATAACCCACAAGTCGGATATTCGCAGAATTTTTCCGTCAATTTTACGTCATATATTTTATCACCGAAATATAATGTTTTAAATCAAATAGTGTGTAACAACCAAAGAGATCCCCTTTGTCAAAGTCTTGTGGCGGAGCTAAGGAGACTCCGGCATGACTTGGGAATCGGAAAAGGAGATGCACGATCATTATCCCCATATGTTTGGTACATAACTTTCAACTTAATTTTTATTCGAATTCGAGGACGAATTCACTTTAAAGGGGTAGGTTGTAACAACCCAATTTTAAAAAAAAAAAAAAAATAGCCCGTCCGGTCCAGAGAGTCCGGACCGGATGGACCAGACTGTCGGCAGCGATTTTCGTCCGGATCCGATCTGAAAACGACCGGTACGCACCATCCTTCGACCCAAACCCGATTTTCTCGACCTTAGAGACCGTAGAACGCGATTTTTTCGTCCTGGGTCCGGATTTCTACCGAAAATTCGATTAATTCGAGCTCTATTTAGCCATCTTCTTCCTCTTCATTCTTCCTCAACTTCAGAACTGAATTCTCTCTCAAATCCGAGAAATTCACGTCCTTCTTTGCTTCCACAGACCAAGTGCACACTACAAAAAAAACCTCAAATTCCAACCGGCAAATTTGTTGGAAATGACCGAAAATCCGTTGGAATTCAACTTTTCCAACGGATTTCCAACGGATATATCTGTTGGAATATCGTCGTTAGAAATCGGTGTCCGTTGGAATTCCGTGGCAAATTCCAAACGGAATTCCAACGCCCTCATCCGTTGGAATATTTCAACGGATTTCCAACGGTTTTTCCGTGGTATATTTGCAACGGAATTCCAACGGATTTGTTCGTCGGGATATATCAACGGAAATTCCAACGGACATCCGTGGCTATTTTCCGACGGGACCGTTAGAATATCCGTTAGAAATTTTCCAACGGATTTACAACGGTATTTGCCACGGATATCCGTTAGAATATCCGTTGGAAACGCCGTCGAAATGTTACAACGGTATTTACAACGGAAGTCCGTTGGAATTTACAATTATTTCCAACGGTAGTCCGTTGGAATATCCGTTGGAAAACACAAAAAAATAAATAAAAAAATAAAATAAATATTTAAAAATAAAATAAATAAAATATTTATTTTATTTTTAAATATTTATTTATACCGTTGTAAATCCGTTGGAAAATTTCTAACGGATATTCTAACGGTCCCGTCGGAAAATAGCCACGGATGTCCGTTGGAATTTCCGTTGATATATCCCGACGAACAAATCCGTTGGAATTCCGTTGCAAATATACCACGGAAAAACCGTTGGAAATCCGTTGAAATATTCCAACGGATGAGTGCGTTGGAATTCCGTTTGGAATTTGCCACAGAATTCCAACGGACACCGATTTCTAACGACGAAATTCCAACGGATATATCCGTTGGAAATCCGTTGGAAAAGTTGAATTCCAACGGATTTTCGACCCTTTCCAACGGATTTGCCGGTTGGAATTTGAGGTTTTTTTTGTAGTGT